GCCAGGGAGGGTGACCTTCCTGGGAGGCACAGGACGGCTCTGCCAGCTCCACTGTGCCCACCTGGCAGTCCTAGCCCCACCAAAGGCACGATGGAGCCCTGACCTAATGTGGCCATGCCCTCCTGGGTCTGCAAAGGCTGCTTCTCACCATCGTTTATTACCCTGGCATTCACTGAGGCAGGTAAAGAGAGAGACCACCAGTGTGAGGGGCCAGCACTGGCATCAGGAAGCCCAGGAACGGGCACAGACGTGGAAACGCGGTGTTTGGAACAGCAAGGTCCAAAGCACCATCCTGTGCCATCAGACAGGAGGGAAGCCCTTTGGTAAATCCACACAGGACTCACCAATGGTGGGGGACCCTGCGACCTGGAGAGAAAAACACCCAAAATACAGCTGCGGCAGACTGTGTTCCCCCAAATGAAGCTTGGATTCCGTGTGTGTGAGCTGTGTAACCCCCACCACGTCTGTTTAATGATGTGTTCACGTGTTCAGAGACAGGGAAGGGACTGGGAAGATTCCTCACGGTTCCTGGAGTCTGTCGCCTGGTGTGGCAGTCACACACACTATGGAGTGCTCACAACCCGGCTGGATTAATTGAGGAATGAATCCTCAATTAACTACTCAGTTACAGCATGGGGGATTGAACCCAGGGCTCACCCATGCTGAGCCCCACCCCACCCCACTGAGCCCCAGCCCAACCCATTTTAAAGTTTTCTCCTAGGCAGGGTCTCACGGGTGCCTACACATTCAGTAAACCTGGGGTCCTCCTGCCCCAGGCCCTTCAGGGGCTGTGAGCACAGGTGTGGGGCACTGCCCTTGCTTTAATTTATTTAACTCTAATTACCTCTAATCTACTTGGAAAGCTGGCACTTCATTCCATTATTAAGTGAGCTGTGAGGTGTGTTGACAGCGGCAGCTTTGACACGTGAGCCTCCTTCTCCAACTGTCTTAGGAAATCTCGGTGCCTCGCCTGTGCCGATGAGAGTTCAGCTCCCAGGGGGACATGCACTTCAAGGACAAAACCCAGCACCTGCAGAGGACAGCACCAAGCTGAAGAAAAATGGCCACTCTGTCTCAGCAATCTGATAATGCTGATTACATGTTGGAACGATTATTTATATACATTGGTTTGAATCAAGTACCTAATGAACTACACCTGTTTCTTTTCACTTTTTAACAGGGCTCCTAGGAAATTTTACGCCACACACACGCACACACACACACACACACACACACAGCGTGGCTCCCATATACCTGGGGGACCTGCACCACCCTTGGGACTGGGGCCGAAAGGGGGCTGCCTCTGTTTCACATTTTATCCCATGTCCTGGAGGCTTCTTTGGTTTTGCTACCATAAGTGGGAGTTCCTTTCAAACTTACAGACAGTAACACAGAAGTGAACCTCTCCGATGTATCTGAGGTAGCTGGTGGGCAGCGGGGTCACTGTGTGGCAAGCGCTGTGCTGCCATGTGATATGAGCAGGGACTGGGGCATCTTTGGGAGGTGCCAGCGGGACCCTCAAGGGTTCCCGACCTGCAGCCGCCCGCTGTGCAGGAGGGGGCTCAGAGAGCAGAAGTCCAACCCAGGAAAACAGTGAAAAGATAAACAGCCCCTGCGGGAACCTCCCCTCTCCTCTGCAGCCCTTCCTCCTGGGTGTGGAGATTCCCCAAGCCCAGGGATCCGAATTCCAGCCTGAACTTCTGTCTGCTCGCTGACGCTGTGGCTGCCTAGAGACAGGTCTCCAGGACATGGGTGCCGCCGGGGAGGAGCACAGGCCCCCCTGAGTCATCCAGCCAGAAACACTGCCTGCGGAGAGGGAGCCACAGGGCTCGGCCTAGGTGCCACCAGACTGCAGAGATTGGCTTGGAGCCCTCTGGTCTCTGGTTCGGTTGTTTGGCTCCCCCTCTGCCTTGATTTACCCTGCTGGATTAGGGTCCCTGGGGATCTCACAGGAAGCTGAGTCTGGATCTGAGGACCAGGCTGGAGCTGGGGCCCAGGTCTCATGAGCTCAGGAAGACCCGGACCCGCGTTCCCCCATGCCCTGGGTGGCTTCTGTACAGCTCCGTTCCCAGGCCTTCTCTGCCCCTTGTCCACTGTCCTTCTTACTGGACTGGGCCCCCCAGGAGTTCAGGGCCTGACAGCTCTATGAAGGGGAGGAACGGAAGGACTTGGCATTCGAGGGCCAGCCCTTACCGTGGGTGGCACTGAGTTAGTTCTTACCTCAGAGGTGGACTCGGGGCTGCCTCGGTGGCCTGTCAGGACAGCGGCTGCATCGGGGTTGACCCTGGGGCCTGGCCAGGGAGGCCCAGGCATAAACAAGTAACGAGGGTAGACAGTCGTCCCCTGGATGCCACCAGGGGCTGGTGCTCAGGGTGGCAGGGCCACACTCACTGAGCCTAGGTCTCCTCCTGTCCCCACGGGGGTTGGGTAAGCTGAGGGAGGGGTGCGAGGAACAGCTTTTCCCTCTTCCCGCAGTGCTGAGGCCAAACTGTGGACCCCTTTGCCCTCGGCCAGGGTCCCGCTCCAACCCCAGCCCCAGCCCTAGGCAGGGCTTTTATTGCAGGATTTTATTTATTTCTTTATTTTAAATTTTATTTTAAAGAGAAAAAATTTCAAAACAAGGTAACAGGACAGTAAGAGTGGTTAATACATTGCATATTGTTATCTTTAAATTACTCAGAGAACAAGATAGCAGGCATTTAATTGTCCAAACAATATTAGCCCAGACCTCTCTTTTCAGTGAACCGAGAGAAATTAGCAGTAGGACTATCCCATCTTGTGTGTATATACAATTTAGCTTTTCCCTGCCTTCTTCCTTTCCCCCGTTCCAGTTTCTCTTTGCTTTTAAACAGTTTCTTCCCATTTCACAATATTTATTGTACATTTTAGACTTTATTTCCTCTCTCAGTTTCTCACACTGGGGAGACAATATGATGTTTACAGATGAGTCAGATTTATTTCACTTATAAGTATGGTCTCAAGCTCATTCATTAACCTGTTAAGTCTCAAATTTATCCTTCATTGTGCCTGTGTAGTATTCCATTATGGAAAAAAAATTCCCATATTTTTTTTTATACATTCCTCAGTTCATGGGCTTTTGCGTTGTTTCTGGGATTTAGCTATTAAATTGTGCTGCTATAAATATGTGTGCACAGGGCCAGGGATTTAACCCAGCAGCATAAGCACCTGCCTGGCGAGCATGAGGTTGTGAGTTCAATCCCCGGTACCAATAAATAGGTAAATAAGGATGCACATACATCACTGTGGTACAGTGTTTTTAATTCTTCTGGAAAGATACCCAGAAGATGGATAGCTGGGTTGAATGGGACCTTTAATTCTCGTTTTTGAGGAATCTTCACACTGATTTCCACAGGGTTTTACCAGTCTGCATTCTCACCAATAGTGGAGAAGAGTCCCCTTTTCCCCACAGCCCCTCCAGCATTTGTATTGCTTGATTTCTTCATAGTAGCCATTCTCTCTGGGGTGAGGTGGAATCTCAGTGTTGTTCTAATTTGCATCTCTCATATGAGCAGTGATGTAGAACATTTTTTTCACATATTTATTTTCTATTCTTATTTGCTCATCTGAGAAGTGTGTATTCATCTCAGATGCCCATTTTTGGACTGGGTCTTTAAGTCTGGGAAGAATCTTGTTTTGAGTTCTTTATATGTCCTCGATAGTAACCCTTAGGCTGAGGTACACCTGGAAAATATTTCTCCCAGGTTGTGGGTTGTCTCTTCACTCTGTTGGTGGTTTCTTTTCTTTCTTTCTTTCTTTCTTTCTTTCTTTCTTTCCTTCCTTCCTTCCTTCCTTCCTTCCTTCCTTCCTTCCTTCCTTCCTTCTTTTTTCATCTTTCTGATACAGGGTCTCACTCTGCATTCCAGGCTGGCCTTGGGCTTACTTTCTAGCCCAGGTTGGTCTTGGACTTCCAACCATTCTCCTGCTTCAGCCTCCTAAGTGCTGGGATTACAGATGTGTACCACCACACCTGGCTGTTGGTAATTCCTTTTGCTTTGCAAAGCTTTATGATGAGCTTCCCCTGTGTGGATGGGGTTTTACTCATAAAGTCTTTGCCTACACAAATGTCTTTAAGAGTTTCACTTAGTTTGTATTCTAGCAGACTTAATATTTCTATTTAAATATTTAGATCTCTGATCCATTTTGAATTTAGTTTAGTGCATGGTGAGAGATGCGGACCCAATTTTAATCTTCAATATGTGCAGAACCAGTTTTTCCAGCCATTTATTAAAGAGGCTGTCTTTCTTCCAGTGAATGTGTTTGACACTTTTGTCATCTGGAGTTGTTTCTGCATCTTCTAATCTGTTTCATTGATCCTCTGGTCTGGATTTTTTTTTTTCCAGTATCATTCTAGAAGGGGAAACCCACCTGTCACCCCCACCCAAACCAGCCAGGGCAGGCTGGGTGTCTTCATGTGCTCAGTCTGTCTCCACCCACAGCCCTGACCTTCCGCCACTCCAGCTGAGCTCCCAGACCCAATTCCTGTTTCTTCCCTCTGTGGCACCCTGCACTCTCGTGGCTCCTTCGTCCTGGATGACTGCGGTTGGTGCCTGACCACTGCACCATGAACATGGACAGGAGCTGCACGGCAGGGTCACAGTTCCTGTCTCTGCTGCATGGTGATGCCCTGACTGATGTCTGAGCAGCAAGTTCCCCTCCTTCCACACCCCTCCTTTGGCACCCGGGGCTGCTGGCTTCTCGCTGCAGGGCCTGTGTGGGGTTCCCCTTTTCCATTGTAAAGAGACCACGCTTTTATGAAAACTACAAGACAGTTCTGATACATGGTTCTGTGTGTTGGTACTGCTGTTGACTCAGAATTTCTCCAGAATTATGTTCATGTTCTAAGTGGTCTACAATTTGGGATCAATTTCTTCTATATTTAGGGATATATATATATATATATATATATATATATATATATATATTTCCAAAAATGATTCATGACTCTAAAACCTGTAGAAGAAAACATGGAGAAAGTCCACAGATCTGAGCTGAGGGAGAAAGGTTCTTAGACAACATCAAAAGCACGCTTTGTGAGAAGGTTTGTAAATTAGACTTCATTGGAATTTTTTAAAACCTTTGCGCTGGGAAAATCCTTGCTAACAGGATAAAGAAAACAACGATGATGGGGCTGGGGATTTAGCTTAGCTGCATAAGCGTGCCTGGCAAGTGCAAGGTCTTGAGTTTGATCCCTGGTACCACCAATAAATAAATAAATAAATAAATAAATGAGAGAGAGAGAGGGAGAGAGAGAACAGTGACAGGATGAAAGGGAATTTCTGCAAACCACTCACCTGATAAAGGACTCAGCTCTCAGAGTGAGAACCATCAAATGAACTCCAGCCAAGACATGAAGGGCAGGTGCATCCGGATGGCACAAAGAGCCTGAAAGACCCGAGACCTCTTCTCCTCTTAATTAGTGGACACAAACCAGAGCACAGGGTATCCCCCCTGGTGCACCTATGGTCCAGGACCTAAGGCCAGGGCTCTGGTGTGAACTGTGGCCAGGAGCCCGTCAGTCAGGTCAGTTCACCCTGATTAAGACCCTTCCCTGGAGACTCACAGCTTCTCCTCACACCTTCCCTGCCCACCCCCAGGGCTCCCCCTCTCTCCCCTGTGACCTTGTTAGATGGACTTTGTCACCCTCAGCTCAGTGCCCAGCCACTCTCACTGCTGACCGCCTATCCCCAGATTGCTGTTCCGTGCGGGCTCCTGCAGGCTGTGTACCTGAGGATTTTTTGGTTGTCGCTGGATTTGGGCTTTTACACATCAGGCTGTTCTCACATTCCCGTACAGGTGCTGGCATGGAAGTAAGTTTTCATCTCTGCGAGGATAAATACCCGGAGTACCACTGCCGAGCAGCCTCTTGGGCATGTGTGTGTTTATTCCCCGATACACCAGCCCAGCTTCCAGGTGCCAGGCCTTCCTGCTAAATTCACAAAGCCTGAGGCGCTTTCTCCTGGCCAAGAAAAGAGATAGCCTGGGGGGGGGCCCACCTGTCCCTCCCCGCTCAGAGGCATGTGGCCCCAGCCCCGAGGGTTCACCAGTGGCTTGGTGGCTTCCTCTCACTGCACTGTGTGCATCTGTAGCCATATGCAGTTCCAAGAGTCCTTGTACCCGGAGCCCTGTCACCTGTTACCACACAGTCGCTCTTAGCTCTTCGTGCCTAGCCTGATCTAATAGAAGGGGACCCAAGTGACAGATAACACTGTATCCACCTTTCTGTCAGTGTACTTACCGCCAGCACTCTGCTCTGGTGGGGTGACCATCATGGATGTATATGGGCAATTCTTACCTTTCATGACATTTTCTCTGTCCTCCTCCTGCAGGATCTCTGTTACATCTGGAGAACTCTCTGCAGCCTCGCAGTGACCTGTGGCCATCTCTGTTCATACGGGGTTGGTATATGGGTCTGGGAGCCACCTGTGGACTGAAGATGTTTCATCCAGGCAGCTGCCAGAGGTTGAGAGGTCTGAGTCCACTTAGGTGCTGGAGGATACAGGCAGGACTGCAGGGTATGGGGTGGGGGGTGGAGCCCACCTTCGGTCGGTCTACCCAGCAGCAAGGCATGTCCGTGGCTTCTTTCCACACCCGTGTTGTCTAGAGCATGCACTAAGTGGTCTCTTCCAGGCAGCACTTTATGAGCGCTCCTGCACAGCCTATGCTTGGCCCAGTGTCTCTGTTCACCATACTCTGGTGCCCGGATGCTCGGCCACCGCATAAACCCTTCCAGCCTCTTCCCGAGCCACAGGAACTGTGCCTGTCACCCACTGGCATCTCGCTGGGTGCAGAATCTTCCTCCTGAGCCCTCAAGATGTGCCAGGTAGCAGGAAAGCGGGAGGGGACCCTTCACAGAAGGGAAAGGGAGCGGGAGGAGGAGGGAACAGAGGGAGGGCATGAGAGACACAAGCCGGTCACGATGGCCCAGGCTCTCAGAGGATGTAAGAGGTGTGCTCAGAAATGGACCAGTGGGACAGCCAGAGGCGCTGTACCCGCACCTCACAGAACCCTTACCGCGTCACCACCTCCTCTGGGGCAATCCTGTCAGGCCTGCATTTGTCCTTGTCCTGAGTGAAAGCAGGTCGTGAGAGTTCTGGGGTCCAGTCCAAAGTCAGGGATCAGAATGCAGGGCCAGGACTCAGCAGAGCCGGCCACAGACACTGGAGCTTCCTTCCTTGCTCTCTACCTGACTTAGCCTTGGTTTCCCTATCTGTGAAAGGGGCGAGTCACCCTCCTGCCTTGGACATCATTGTAAGGTTGACCCAACAGATCTGCCTGTGTTCCTGGAGTCACCAGGAAGCACAGGCCTCTCGGCTGTGGCCTGCTCCTCCCAGCTCCAGCGGCTTAGAGCAAGCAGCGGAGCCAGCACCTTCAGCCTCAGGTCCTCACAGGAACACAGAAGTGCGGGAGGCAGAGCAGGGAGGGTGGCTCTCCTCTGCGAGCCACCAAGGTTTCCGAGAGGAAGCGCTATGCTGTCAGCCTGCATCTGCCCCTGGTGAGGACTGCAGTCGGGTCCCCTGGCAGTGACATCTCGCACATGGAAGCTTTCCCCCACCAGGCCCCGCTAGCCTTGCTCTTCCGCTCCTAGAAACGCAGTCATCAGATTTGACAGTCAGTGTCAGAGTCCGCAGCCGCTCACTCTGAAGACCGCAGTTCTCCCAGCGCTGAAGGTTCCGAGGTGCTGCCTGCCCACTGGTGACTGCTGGCCATGTCCCGAGAGCCCTGGTGTGGACAGCAGCTGTCTGCCTGTAGGCTGGTCTCCATTAAAGAACATCCCCAATATTGAAATGCTGGGATCCTCATTCCCAGTGCAATGGTGTCAGGGTGCCTTTGAGGTTGGACCACTCCTGTGCCCTTGGAGGGGCCCCAGAGAGCTCTGCCCCAGGGATCCCATGTGAAACACAGTGATACCCAGCACACGGTGGCTGAGGTGAGCCTCGGCACGCCACACTTGCTCTGAGACTCACCCTTCACAGGTCACCATGCATCTGTGGGGTTTCCTTACAGCAGCTCAAGGGCCTGAGACTGCAGGGCAGATGAGCACATCTGCATCTGGTGGAGCTCACGAATGCTGAAGAGCAGCCACAAACAGTGGTCCAAGGGGCGACCATTCCTACCCTACGTGGGCCTGGCTGTGCACCCAGGGCTTGAGTACTGGCGCTGGCCCACGGCTGGGTGCCCAGTCTGCAGCTCTGAGTCCTAGCAAGAACATGGGCTCCCCAGGCCTTTGGGGTGGACAGGGTGGGGGCCTGTTACTGAATCCCTAAGGCCCTATTAAGGGGGCAAAACAAAGCGAAACCAAACAAAAACCCTGATGCCAGCACTGTGTCCTAGGATCTTCCTCTTTAGGGTGCAGGGCCTTCTCTGAACCCAGTTTATCAGCAGCCCTCGGCCTCCACATTAGTAGAGGGTGCAGTTGAGCTGATTATTTTGCAGTGGGGAGACTGAGGCTTGTAGTCTCAGCACTGTGGTGCAGCACAGGTCCTGATGACCAACCAGGTCCAGAGATGAACCGTAAAAGTTCTGCAGGAAGATTGCTGCTATCTGCCCCCAGCAGCCAATCACCTCCAAAGGATGCTCTGTCCACAGCCCGCTCTGGTCTCCACCTGGGGACCAAGCTTCCTCACGTAAAAGGCTTTGGCCAATTCGGGAAATGAAGCTCTGGCTTGGTGTGTGGCATCCTGGCTTTGGAGAAGCTGAAACCACGTGGCCAGTTTGGGATGGAGCGGGGCAGTCCTGCTGAACCCCACAGGTCTCTGCTCCTCCACTGAGTGATGGATCTGGGAACTGTGCTGAGCAAAACCCCAGGAATTGTGCAGGTTTATTCCACCTCTCCTCCCAGGGTGCTCCCCGAGAGGTGCTGGGGTGGGAGTGCACTCGGCCCCTTTCCTGTGCTGCATCCAAACCTGACAGAGAACGGGCATTGCACTCTGGCTCTTCTGCCCCTCTCCTCGTGCTAGTCATCGTCCGTTACCCTTTGGACAAAGCCGCCTTGCGGGTGCTCACACTCAGGTCAGCTGCTCTGAGCCTGGGGTGGACTGGACAGTGGCTGCCCAGGAGAGGACAGTAATAGGGACCATGCACTGTGTTCCGAATTCTCCAGTGACGGCCTCTTGTTCTGCTTTACTCAGCACCAGGCTGGAGCCAGGAGCAGCTGCTGACCCAGTAGCAAGGAGGCTGAGAACTGCTTGGTTCTAGGCTCAAGAAAAGTAAGATAAAATTTTCAAAAAGCTTTTAAATTCAGTGGCCAGTTACAGTTTATGTTATTACACTTTTAAAAAATAGGCAATGAATTAAAACACTGAAAAGGAATTAGAAAAACAGGATCAGTCAAAAAAAGGATTTTGGTGAGACACTTTTCAAACTTACTGCTTTTAAACTTAGGCTCAGAGGTTCTTAATTTTTCACTTATTTTTGAAGTTGTCCCCTCTCCATCCCTGTCCAGGCTTGAAGCCTCTGGGGGGAGAGGGCTGTGTCCCCTTCCAAATTATCCTATGGTCTCCTCAGTACACAAGTGGTTTAGTGGCCTCTCCTGCCCAGCTGGCAGCCTTGGCTCTGTGCCCTGGCTCTGCCTGGCCTGTAAGCAGTTCACCCTACATCACTCCCGGAAGTCCTGGCCACAGGAGGGAGAGACTTACCTGCTCCAAAGAAGCCAGCGAGAAAGCATTCAGAACTTACAGTCTGGGAAACCGGGGACTGGAGCTGGATCCACATGCCCAGGCCGCTGGGCAGGAGAAAGCTGACCAGGCTGTGTAGACAAGGTCTTGGATTAACACTGGGAGTCCCAAGTGCAAGTTCTTGCTGTGTAAATTTTTTAGCAAACTTTGAAAACTGCCTGAGCTCCTCGTGTCCTGTCCATCCAGTTAAGCATGAGGCCATCTGATCCTGGAGCAGCACTGCTATCTCAGAGCCTGTGAGAAGACGCTGGCGCAGCGCAAGGCACTGCGTGTCTGACAGGAGGTCCCCGGCCAGGAGAGCCCCAGCAGCCTCTGTGTCGTGGCCACCTGCATTGCTAGCGGCTCCTGCTCCACATGGAAGTCTTGAGCGCCTTCTAGGGCTCCCAGAAGCCATCCCTGCATCCTGAGCTGGGCTGTTCTTCAGCCCCACTCCTGCTGCACTGTAATACCTCTCAGAGCGGGGCTAAAAGAGCCATTGAGGTACCCGTCCCCCAGAGAAGGCCGAAGGAGTAGAGCTCAAAAAGCAGATGAAAGTTGCTTGAAAGGCTTCAAAGAGGAAGACGGGTCTAATCCCCCAAAGCTTCCTTTCAATCCTTATCCCTTCATTTCAGAAAGTGGCCCAGGGCTTTTAAAATGCCCAAATATCACTTTACAGCTTGGGGTCATGATAGAGAGCAGTCCCCATTGCCGCAAGGGCTCCTCGAGGCTGCACCTCCTTTGCAAAGAGCTGGCACTAGAGGGTGGGGCCCCTTCTGGGGTCTAGGGTGCGGGGCAGCTGTCCTGGGGCTCCAGGCCTGGAGCTGCAGGATAACGACCACCTGGGGAATCCCTGAAAGCAGCTGAGTCAGGCCTTTCCCAGTTACTTCTGGGCGAGGCTTGCATGTCTGTCACCATGTGGAAGAACGCCCAGTCCTGCTACTAGGCAGCTTGGGAGTGAGAGAGTCCAAAGGAGGAGGAAAACAAGGCCACGGGTACAGCCAGTGTTCACTGCCCCAAGAGCAGTTCTGGTGCCTTCATGGGCCCAGGGAGGCCAGCCCCTTTCCACACCCTTCCGCTGCCCATGAAGAAGCTCAGTGTAACCCATAGCCTGGGTCAGCACCATGACAGTCAGAGACCAGCGCTGGGCCCAGAGCTGTGCCCAAGGCTGCACACAGCGCCGTGGCGGAGGCGCCTACAAGAGCTCTTTTCCACTGCTGAGAGTGGGGTGGAGATGGGGTCACGAAGGGTCACAGCTACTTGGTGTTTGATGGGGACTTGAACTTAGGTCTGTGCCTGAGACCTTTCCCAGTCGGACACTGAGGCTGCTGTCCCCATGGTGGGGTGGCATGGTCATTGGCAGTGGCTCCGGAGACCCGGGCCGGTGGTTCACCCCACTCAGGATCTCATCTCAAGCTTCCCTGGCGACCTCGGCCCCTCCATGGCCACCTCTGCTCTTCCGATTCCCCCTCTCTCTGCAGCAGCTCAGCCTAGCCTCCAGCCTGGCCACAGAATCTCCTGGGGTCCACTGAGTTGAAGGGCAGTGACAGGCATCCTGCTGACCCGGCCATCAGAGACCACAGCCCCAGAGTAATCGCAGGGACCCTGCCCCCAGGCCTCTCCTTTAGAGAGGAGATAAAAATAGTGAAGAAACAACACTTCCCTCCTTCCCTGAAAGGCTGGCAACCTTCCAGGATGGACTTATGTACTTTTTGTACTTGGAGGAAAAAAGAGATGGGATTTGGTCCAAGAATGGTCCTGCAAGCAGGAGAAATATGGAGCCGGCAGCTGGAGCGAGGCGGCCGAGTGGTACCGCCAGCTGCAGGCCCATTAATTAGCGGGCCTGGTATGCGCGGTTCCCGTGACCCCGGTTCTTGTTGAATTCGCAGAGATAATTTTCACAGAGCCTGACTTTCTCCCTGCCGTATATTTATCCAAGAGGTACCTTGTCCGTTTCCCCTCATCTCTCTGTGCAGTAAATTTATTCTAATTGCAAAGAGATAGAGTAAAAGCCTGATTGAATGCTAGGTGGTTTATAGAGATTTATTTCGGGGGCTTAAGGGGTTTTTAGAGTGTGTGGCGAGAGCAGGGTTGGGGGTGCTGGGGAAAGAGCCCAGGAGAAAATGTAGATTTAATGGATCTATAAAACGACCCGGCCGTAGACAAGGCTGAAGCAGCCTGGCCCATACCCAGGTTAGGCTGGAAGTATCGGTAGGGTTTTGGGGTTTCGGGGTGAACAGTATCACTCCCCAGGCAGGAGGGGTCTCTTTTCCCAAGGGAAGAAAGTGCAAGAACCTCACATTTCTAAGCAAACCTCTAGCACCTGCCTTGAGGACCCTGGCTGACTCCCTGAGTGCCCAGGTCATGGCAGACACTTGTGAGTGCCAGGATTTCTGACCCTGGCTCTGAGGAGTCATCCCCCTGGAGCCCCGTGTCCTCTCAGGCTCCTGGGGATAAAGAGTCTCTACTCTTTCACCTGCCTGCGGCTGGGTGGAGGCTCACTCTGCTGAACTTTTCCCCCAGAACCTTCAAGGCTCCTGATCCCAGGAGTGACATCCGTCTCTTTTGCAGCTGCTCTGCAAGTTGTGCTGGGGATGAATTTAGGACTTTCAACTGCTAAGTGGGTTCCATTGTAAATCTAATCCCGGCTGTAATGGAGACGTTTGCTCTGGAGGAAGAGGCCTTGCTGGGGGAGCAGGCCAGAAGGAGGGTGACTGCACCCCCTCTTGGGCCACAGGCAGAGGGCTGGGTCAGGTCAGAACCACCCTGACTTCCGTTTTTTCCAGGAGTTGGCAGAAGAAGACCGCAGGGAAATGGCCAGGCTTCTTGATGGTGAAGTGTGACACTCACCCAGGAAAACGCAGCTCTGGTGAGGCCTACGCCAGCAGGCAGGGCCCCTGGGAGGCCCCAGAGCTCAGGCCTCCTGAGTTAGGAGTGGCTGCTGCGCTCAGGGCCAGCACTGTCCAGCTCTTGGCATGTGGCTCTGCAGACTGTGCTCCTTTCAGCGCAGGAGGTCCCGGCTGTGCTGGCTGCCAGTGGGTGTCTGTGACGTCCAGCCTGGGGACACTGCCAGTCAGCTGCATGCAGGCCGCTGTGGTAGGCCTGTCTGCTGTCCTGGATATCAGGGACACTGAGTTTACTGTGTCAGTGACCACTCTCAGCCCCAGTGTTGTCTCTGCTCCCTGCATCTCCCTATACCACAAAGCTCAGGAGTCACGGCAGAGCCCTTGTTCCCGGGTCAGGTCCCAGGCATCCATCTCAGCCTCCCAGGGTTAACCTCGGCCTCCTGAGACATGGTGTGCACCTGGCTCTTCTTTTCCTGCCTCACACTCAAGCTTCCTGGGACCCAAATGAGCTTCCTGCATCCCTGTCTTTGTCTCCTGGGAGCTTCCAGGGGTCACAGTGCTGTGTGACTCCTCAGTCCTGTGACCTTCAGGGAGAACTTGCCTTGCCCGGGTCAAGGGTCACAGTGCATCCCTGGTCCCCTAACTATTCCTGGGGAGACGAAAGGAGAGGTTAGTGCAGTCTGGATACAAGTGATATTTCTAGCACCCTGGTTTCTGTCCTCCTCTGCACAAAGTTGGCGATGGGGTGCACAGACACATTTCCACTCCAGCTTTTGGTCAGGACACAGATGTATAAAGAACTCTCATGATCACTGTGATGACAACTTCATTCTGCACAAGAGTTAGGGATACAGAGCACTCTCAGACCTGAGGAGGTCAGCAGCTCACCAGGAAGGGGTCAGAGGGCTTCAAAGGCAGAGACAGTAAAAAGGTTTGAACCCCACCACACCAAACTCACTGTCTCCCCAAGGTCTGTGTTCTCCCAGGGAGGCAGCAAGCACAGAGAGAGAAGCCCGGGGACTCCAGGTCAAGCCTTCAGTGCCTGTCCCCAAGTGTCTGGAGTCCAGGCCTCGCCCTCAGCTCTCATCTGCCCACACATTCACCGAACACTTGCCCTGTGCCAGGCCTCTTGGGAGCAGATTGGCAGCTATGCACAAAAAGAAGTTTCTATAGTGTAAATCTGGAGGTCACCGCAGAGCCTCCAATGCTCAGAGGGGGGCTTTGGAAAGGTGATTGACCTATGGGGTGTTACGGTTTGTGTTTAATTGTCCCCCAAAGCCTCATCCAGTTGTAGGGGGCGGGCCTTTCGAAGGCACCTGAGCCTAGTGTTTGTGATTGGCTCCTTGTCTGGTGCTGGGATTGGCCGTGCCAGCACTATACCCGCCCAGGGGCGGAGCCGGCATATTTTATAAGGGAGGGAAGGCAGCTTGTGCTCTTCCCTTTCGCGCTTTCTGTTCTTGTTGTTTGCAGCTGCCATGAACAGCTGCCCCTCATCCACGCCACCCTGCCTTGCAGCCAGCTGTGTGGACGGAAACCTCCAAAAACTGTGAGCTAAATAAACCTTTCTTTGCTTCACTTTAGGCACCTGGTATTTTGTCTCAGCAACAAAAGAAAAGTCATGAAGTCATGAAAAACCAAGACATGAAGTAGCTAAATGTGCTCTTAGGAGGTAGACTCTGCTCGGATGAGGCCGGTCACTGGCTTGTGTCTCTTCCTGCTTCCTCTCTTCTCTCACTCTGCTTCCTCTCTTCTCTCACTCTGCTTCCTGTCTGCTCAAGGTGAGCAGCTGTCCTCCATCAGACCCTTCCACCATGCTTCTTCTGCCTGGAGTCTGACCAAACAAGGATGGAATCTGCGGGGCCCAAACAAACTTCACTAAAGCCATGGGGATTGGGAATTGTGTCTCAGTGATGGGAAGATGACTAACACAGAGCTAATATGCATACCCCTCATTCTAGGCCCAGCAGCACCTCAGGGAAGAATATTTACCAAGGTTGAGCCAGGCCTCACCTGGAGCAAAGACACTTCCTGCTGGCAACTGACCAGCCAGGCTCTAACAAGGAGTAAGAAAGAATCTTCTAGAATGTTCCACACTCTTCTCTGTAGGGGCACCTCCTAAACTCATCACTACTCAAAGGCAGCTGCCCTAGGGCTCCTTCTCTACATTAGCCTCAACAGCCCTCCAAGTGCAAATCCCTTTTTAAAAATACAGTATCAATATTATTACACCATGGATCTGTACAGTGTACTTTGTAGACTCCCTGGAGGCTAACAGGCCTCAGAAACAGATCTGTGGGGTGAGTGTCCTTCACTATGACTGACGAGACTTGATCCAATAGTTTTGTGCCCCTCTTTTTTCAGGAGAGCAACCTTCTCATTTTCACATCCCTATCTTGTGAGTTTGAACAGCCTCCTGCTCTGCAGCTCCCTTGTTTGGGCAGCACCATCTGCGATGGTCAAAACCCTCCTGTTGGGTCGAGGCTGTGATTTCCAGCTGCCCTCCCCTGCACACTGCTTGCATATACCCAGTTTGGGCTGGGTCCTCTCACCACACATGGTCATGGAGTCCCAGAATCCTCTCCTCCTGGCCAACTGCTCTTCCTGATAGTTCTCTTTCTATGAATGGGATCATTTTCCCATTCAGATGTGCTCTGCATCTTTCCTTTTCCTTGTCTCCTACATCTGCATAACTCAAACACTGGACAGATTTCCCTGCCACGGGCGTCTCCATCACCAGCTCTCTGGTTCGGGCCCTGTTCAGCATGGACCTGGTTGCTTACTGCAGCTGCCATCTTGGGTCCCTCACAGTGGGGTCTGCTGTCTCCCTCTGTCGTCTGGATCCTTCTCATTGGGTGTGTTTTCGGTCTGGTCACTGGTCGTAAGCTCCCTGAAGAATCCCTTGGTCTAATGCAGTACCTGGTACATGGCAGACACTTAGTAAACCCGGATTGAATTGGTTATTTCTCTGCTGAAATGTTCCAGTGGCTTCTTATTCTCTACAGGGGGGCATCCCACCCTGCCTCTTGAGTCCCCCAAGCGGCTGCCACTTAACCTTCTACTATCATTTGCCCTTGGTGCCAGTGTCCCAGTGAAGCAGACCCCGGCTTTCCTGCACGCACTCTACACATGCACCCCACTGTCTTTCCTTCTCCTTTGGAATGCACGTTATTAAAGTGCTCGGCATAACGCTTATCTTTTTTTCCTAAATGTAACCTTTTAATTGATAAGGCTGTATTACTTTTGTGATTTAAAAACCTCTTAAGTGTTTTAAATTCAGTATGTTTGAAATATTTAATGATAAAATGGGAGAGAGGAGGCAAAAGGGAAGTAAAAAGGATCAAGATGCAATACCCACAGCTACCAATTCCCCCAGTGAATGTCTTCCATTTTTTGTTGCACAAATACACTAATAAAAAAGGAGGAAAAAGGAAAAATATTTACTTGAATTTCCCCTGATCTGAACAGTTATATGGGCATTTAAAATATAATTGTGGTTATTTATATACTGTTCTTTTATATTTCATATGTTTGAGATTTTTATATAAAACTTTAAAAATGTACAGTTACAGTCATGCCTAATATAAAGGTGTTTGCAGAAGGATGGAGTAGTTGGTGGTGGCGTTCACAGTCTTCCTGGTTCTCCCGTTTCCAAGCGTGCTCCCCAAACCCCATGGAGCTGAATGTGCCCTGGATGAACTCTGGTCCATCCCAAGCGAGCTGCAGCTGTTCGTGCTGCTCAGAGCTGAAAGTCTCTGAGCCCCAGGTGTGGCGGCTGCACGTCCTCTCCTGACGGGCACTGGAGTCAGTAGGAAAAGCCACTGAGCGTGGGGCTGCTTGTTGCTACTCATCCTGGTTGATACGGATGGACAGGTGGGTCAACAAAAGCCTCTCTAAAATCCAAGAAAAGGGACATTTTTAAAATGCATGGCTGTATTTGTCAGTAGTATGTGAACCCTTAAGGATGGCTGTACTCCCAGAGAGTGAACTGGAACAGGAGCTGAGAGCCAGCCATGCTCATGAAAGAAGACAGTGGGACCCCGCAGGAAATCAGTGTCATCTCAGCCCAGCACAAATCCCTGGAACATCAAGAAGGCAGGAACCAAGACTTGGAGATTTTATACTCTGTACGGGGCGGGGTTGCAAGAGGCCATTCCCCAGCTCCTCAGGCAGGACAGCCATTGGCTCTCACCACGCCTGGGTCCAGATCAAAGGTCAGCAAGCCACGGTGGTGATGAACAGCCAGCTTATGCCCCAAGGAATTTAGACACTGAAATGTGCAGGTGCAGAATTTTTTTATTTGCAAAAATGTATAGGGCAATTGTGTGCTAGGTACTATTATAAAAATTTCTATAATTTTGACATATTTAGTTCTCCTAAAAACTCTATGGAGTACTATTGTTATCTCATCTTATAAATGAAAAAGATGAGCCATAGACAAATTAAGTAATTTGTCCTCAATTTCTCTTACATGAAAACACTAGAATTCAGGCTGTTTAAGACTAGAGTTTATCACTATGTCTTGTTGCCTTTCTGACAGAGAATCACAAAACATTTATGAAGTAAGAAGTGGGTTTCTAAAGAGAAGCCAGAATGAAAGACTCTTGGGGTGATCAGGTGGATCAGAAGGAAAGGAGGAAGGGAGGGAAGAAGTGGAGAAGGAGGAAAAAAGGAAAGGTTAATTAAAACGGAAAATTAAATCATGAAAGTAATTTAATAACTAGGTTAAATATCTGAAGAGAGGATTTGTGAATCAAAGAAATACATGAAGAAAATACCTAGAATGTACTAGGAAAAATAGGAAACAGAAAATATGCAAAAAAATCCCTCAAAAAGGTTAAAGATGCAGAAGACAGAATGAGAAGTTTTCTAATATGCATTTACCTAGATTTTGCAGAGACAACAGAGTGCAGGAGGTGTGGTGTGGAACATTAGTACCTGGAAGCTTTTCTGAACTGATGCAAAGGCTCAAATCCACAGACGCAGCAGAATAAGTCACCCCTCCGACTGTCACAGAGAAACAAGGACATGAGAAGCAGTCTCGTGGCAAAGAAAGATCGTGTGGGGAGGGCAGGCTACGAGAGCATCTGCAGACTTCCCAGGAGCAGCAGTGAACACAGAAGACGGTGGAAATGGTCATGGCGGCTGTGAGAAGAGGCTGCCAGTGCCTGGCTGGGAAATCTGTCCATCACAAATACGGGTAAGATAAAGGCATAGCAAACAAAGTTGCAGACCACGCTGAAGACACATTCACCCACAAGATCTATCTCCAAGGCAACTTCTTCCCATCAGTCCTGGCGGGTTCCTCATCTTTGGAATCCAAAGCTTTCTAATGACACTCACCAAGTGCATGCGCATACTGACCTTTGCTACCCCATTTATTACCCCCTTCTTGCCTCGTCCACTTCTGCTTGTGAAAGGCTCCTGGCTCTCTAACCCAGCTGAGCCTCTGTTGCGATGATGTGATCACGCACAAGGTGCCAAATGGGCCCCGGCTGAAGCCGAGCCATCCATCTCCTGGCCTGTGTCCCACACACTAGCACCACCAAAGGACATGCACTCCAGAGGGTCACCCTTCAGAATGTTCGGAAACCCCACTCATGGTGCTGTCTCCTTCCTGCAGACCTGCTGTTACATGATTCTTCACCTGTCAGCACTTCCCAAGGCTATCTGAGCACAGGAAGCCAGGTGTGGTGGCAGACACCTGTTATCCCGGCACTCGGGAGGCTGAGGCAGGAAGATCCTTACAGGTTTGAGACCAGTCTGGGCTACAAAGTGAGCTCAAGGTCAGCCTCAACTACATAGCAAGACCCTGTCTCAAAAAGACCAAAAAGTAATAGAAATAATAATAAAATTATCTGAATATCGACTAACTCCTACCCTTCCCTCCCCAATATTCTCAAGAGACTAGTGCTTCTAATTTCATATTTTAGGAAAACACTACAGGAAGCAATGCCTCGTGTGAAAATGCCCCAGAACTTTCCATTAATAGCTCCCCACAGAGTTAGTTTTAGGTCATTTTCCTGTGGGCTCCTTATCTGTGCTGGCATGAGCAGGCAGCCCCTTCCTACTCTAAAATCCTGCAGATTAGAGGGTCGGGCTGCTGACATTCGGCCATTTGCTCACTTTGCAGATACCAAACCTCTGCTACGCAGCACCCCGTACAGCGCTGTTCATGGAGAGGTGGGCAGGACCAGTCTCCTTGATGTTTCTTGAGGCCACCAGCTAGGAACGCTTTTTTAGGGCTTGCTATTCAGAACATCATTCTTTGATTCCCAGGACAAATTTATTCTGGTTAAAAATTGATTATTTACTGTCTCCTTCCTTCTGTGTGTCAGGTCATGGAATGAATCTCTGGGGTCTAAGCTGTGGTTTCTGTAGGCTTATGATTCTACTTCACAAGAGACTTCCACTATAAGGTAAAAACCCTGATCTGGGAAGCACATCTAGTTTTAAACTCTCACCCTTGGGACAGGTGTGTGATTGTGTCAGTTTGAGGAGTTTAGTTCTGAAGCTTCACTAAACTTGCTTAGAGTTTCCACAGCCTAGGGTGTAGAGGACCCACTTAGGTGGCTGAGCTGGGATGGTAAAAGGGGAAACACGAAGCACAGATCGGCTTCTGTGTATCTCCTGGCTTCCAGCACAGACCCTTTAGCTTCTGGCCTGGATTGTTCAGCCTTGCAGCCTAGGTTTCAGCCTTCCGGCCTGGACTCCTCGGCGCTCCATCACAGACCCACTGGCCTCCTGATACGGACTCGCATGGATACTGCAGTGCGCTGTAGACCTGGACTGCGCCCTTCAGGCTCCAGTGTGCAGATGCCCTCCACATGCTTCCTTATCCGACCCTGTGGCTGACCACTGCTATAAGTTATTACACATTTGTATGTCCCGTATCATATCTGTTTCCCTAGTAAAACTCTGATTCTTTGACTTTTTTGTGAAAGTTCAATTCTGTGTGAAAAGCAAATTCTAAATATCCAGCATCACAGGGCAGAACTGTGCACTCAGCACTTCACACATTCCCTTACTTCGTACTTCCTGGCATCACAACAACCAGGCACCAGCACCCACCCCACTGACAAGATGGCAGAACCCCCCATAGTCACATAGCTGGCAGAGGTAGGTTTGGACCCCAGGCTGCCCTCTGAACTCCAGTGCAAAGCTGACATTATTTTTTATCACTGTGTGTTTGCCAACATAGCAGGGGGTGGTGTGTGCAGGTAAAGAATGCGCCATCATTTTTAATAGCTTCGTACTCCTGCTGCCACTATTCTTAATATCCCATTCAGAAGAGGAGAGGAAGGGAGGGGAGGGGAGAGGAAGAGAGGGGACAGGAGAGGAGGGGAGGAGAGGAGGGGAGGGGAGGGGAGAGGGGAAGGGAGGGGAGAGGAGAGGAAGGGAGGGGAGAGGAGAGGAGGGGAGAGGAGAGGGGAAGAGGGGAGAGGGGGAGAGGGGAGAGGAAGGGAGGGGAGAGGAGAGGAGGGGAGAGGAGAGGAGAGGAGAGGAGAGGAGAAGAGGGGAGGGGAGAGGAGGGTAGAAGAGGGGAGAGTCGAGGAGGGGACAGGAAGGGAGAGGAGGGGAGGGGAGGGGAGGAGACGGTCCCCATAGCTACTCTGCTGGATGCTTGAGGTTTAACCTCTCTGAGGCGCTGAACAATCACAGGATTTTAAAGGTCGAACTCCAGCCAGGTTGTATACTGAGATGATGAAAAATTAAAGGCTTCTTTCCTCTCTCTGGCTGTGCGTTAATCTTCCCAGTCTGGCTCTGTTCAAGCCTGAGCGCGCACTGCAGATAGTAAGGAAACTCGAGATTGGTGGAGGTGCTTTAAACCCTGCAAGCCTGCCGTGTTCTCTGCAAGTGTTCCAGAGATAAGGTCTCCTCTCAGACCCGAAATGCGCTTTGGGGATCTGCAGCACCACGTGGTGTTTATGCAATCGCATCAATTATGTGATGAGGAACTATGACCCTGGGCACAGAGGGGAATTTTAATCACAGACAGCGATACTTGTTGCGTTTTTCATACCAGAAATACAGTGTAGTAAAAGTGAGGCCCAAGCCCTGCCCGTGGGGCTCTTGGCATTGGTTAGGAGCCATTCTCCATGGAAGTGGATAAAACGTAAACAGTCCTTTATCTGGACCGTGATGTGTGCATTAGGAGAACTTCCCAAACCCGCCCTTGGTGTCTACAGCCAAGACTCTGCTTCCATGTTTCTGTGCAGCGGGCACCAGCTCCCCAGCTGGACCTGAGGTTTCTGCTTGGGGTTGATGATCTTGATTCTGCTGTGGTGGCTGGTAACACGCGTGGCCTGCATGGAGTTGCTTCTTCTCACCCAACCAGCGCATGCCTGGCTCTCAGGCTTGCTCTGTGTCAGAGTTCTGAGATTCCGACCTGGTTTCAGATTCCAGCCTCAGCAAGGCGACAGACCCCCTTGAAGGGCACTTGCTGGAGGGACCTGCTGTTTGTTTTCTCCTTTTATTTTCTGGCATTTGTAATCAAATCCAGGACATTCATACTGCACTACCTCCTCAGGTATTTTTTATTTTAGGAAAGGGCCTTCTCATTTGCTGAGTTGTCCAGGCTGGGCTTAGACTGCCATCCTCCTGCCTCAGCCTCCTGCTGAAATCACAAAGGTCCTGTTTCAAGCCGTATGCTAAGTGTGAGATCAATATGTGCAACAGCGACATACCCACCCGCTGGGTAGTGACTTCCCATAGGAACAGGTTTAGGTCATACTTTCCGGGTCTTATCCTCCTCCCCAGGGGTGGTCATGTGGAGGGCACTCTGCTGGCCTTCCACCTGCTTTTCAGTTTCCCCCAGGTCCTGTGTTCACCCTGGAAGCTTGGCCACCATTTCCACTCCCTGCACTCTGTTTACACCGCAGCAGCTTTGCTCGGGGGTAGATGCGCCAGCCGTGCCTGCCGGCAAGGTCTGTACTTGCAAAGCTCGAAGCCCAAGGGGTCTCTTACTCAGGGAGGCACAAGTCTGTTAAAGCTTTTACGACTTGCAAACGAAGAGGCGTTTCATCTCCAGCTATGAGACAGCTAAGGTGGAAGAGAGAGCCTTCTGCACCAAATAAATTAAGCGTTGGAGTAATTTACAGTTCAGGTACCCTTGCCAGACCCGCCTAACTGAATCAAGTCAGCAGATTAAATGTTCCCCCGGCAGTCTGCAGGGGCTGAGACACAGCACCTGGGCTGCCCCGTTGGGTCTCAGCATTGAATTACAGCCGAGCCGGGCCTGACAGGCAGGCGGTGGGAGCTGGTGCTGGAGGTGAGGCTCGGATCCCTGCTAGGAATGGCGATGCCCACTCCAGGGGAGGGAATAGGAAACCTAGGGGCCTTGGGGAGGCTGGGGTGGGGTGGCTGAGTCTTCCTTCTGGGTGTGAGGGCTGGACTGTGTTTTCACTATCTCAGAGCAAAAGTCAGAGAACAAGGGAACATTCCATATGTGGAACCAAAACTCATCCAAGTCAAAACAAGAAACTGTCAGCAAATCCTAAATGTCTCTCTCCCAAGTATCTAGGTGCTGCCCGGCACCTGCCTGCCAGGTGACACAGGGACATGTCACCTACGGTCCTATGTGGTCTCTCTGGGCGGGTCTTAGGAGCCAGACCCAGTGGGTCAGCAGGTCTTCAACAAATGGAAATTTAAAACGCCAGCCAGTGCTGGGGGGGGGGGGCTCTGGAAAGTTGGGCGGGAAGCCAGGAGACGCAGCAGGTAGCTGCAGGGAATTACTCACGGCGCCCAGGAAGGAACCGGGCTTTTCCGCCTCCCTCCCTACTATTCCCACAGGAGCCTAAGCACCAGAGGGAGACAGAGGCACAGCTGGGCTCCCACTTCTTTGCTGTGCCTATGACTTTTCTGGAAATGAAGGGGATAAGAAGAAAGGAAAGGAAAGGAAAGGAAAGGAAAGGAAAGGAAAGGAAAGGAAATCCCACACTGCGTTGCCATGGACCGCTGACCCTCTCCGACCTGCTCAGCTCTGGCCCAAGTGGCCTCCGGGCCAGGGAGAGGACAGGCTGGTGGTGGCCACCAGCTAGAGTGCAACCCATGAAGTGCAAAGCTTTGAAGGTGGGCCATTGCTGCATCCTCCTGGGTGTACAGCGTCTCCACACTCGCTGGAAAGAGGGGGCAGCAGGAGCGGAGGTCCAGGGCCGGCTCGGCTGTGGCCTTGAGGATGTCAACAGGCTCTCTGTTGTCTTGTGCACTCTGCAGCCAGGCAGGTGTGACGGTCCCGATCCATAGGGAGCGAGCGCACTTTGAAGCCAGAATCAAGGACATGGGGCCCTCAAGGAAACCGGGCTCAGATCTTCACAGCACCCGCGCCCGTGACCTTCATCCGCAGCCGCCGCCTCCCCTTGCTGGCACTGGCCCAGTCCCCACAGATGGCTCCCTGCCCGCCCAGGCAGCTCACAGAGGCGCGACCCCTCCAGCACCCTTTGAAGGCTACTTAATCTCCTCTCCTACATCGCCTTCGCTAACATAAATCCACTATCCGCCAGCCCAGGGGCCCGGATTGGCCACCGAGGGAGGCCACCGGGCCAAGGGATGGTCTGGCGCTTGCGTGAGATTTCTGCCTCTCTCACCCGTGCTGTGACCTCGTGGACCCTGGCTGGGGCATGGAGTGGGACCACAGGCCCCTCGCTAATGCGGAGGTGAAGCCTCGAGACCAGGGGCAGCTCAGAGGGGGCTCCTCACTTCATCCTTGCTTCTGGGAGTTTGAAGGCAGAAGCCAAATGAGTTCATGAAGAGGGAGAGAGAGTTGTAAACTGTCATTGGAAAGTAGCGGCTCACATTCCTCCACGCACAGTACGCAGCTGCAGTGTATCCCTCTGTCGTGTGGTCTTTTCCTGGGCTGTGTTCACTGTACACGTTCCCCTTCCTGCTTCCTGCTTCCTGCTTCCGGGAGCCCCACATCCAAATCAAGGGTCACACAACACCCTCTGCCCAATAGTCTCACACATACAGACATGCACAGTCACACACATGTGTGCACCAGCCTCGGTCCTCAGGAGCCATTGAATTGTAGGAGTTTTGTTTTTTTTTTAGCACTTATCCAACATTATGTGAATCAATGCTAGCTAGTGTAGTTCAACCTTTTATTTATCTTAAAATGAAAGTAAAATTGTTATTTCCTGGACCTGCCCTCACTGCATGTGCAAATGGGAAAACACCCCAGAAAACTGGAGGGGCCGAAGTGCCCTGTGAGGACTGCGGCACTGTAGCCCCTGGGAGCCACCACCCAACGTGGGGACAAGCTGCTGTCAGCATCCAGTGTGGAGTAGGGGTCCCAGCCCTAAGGCCCCCAAACAAAGACCAGACCAGCCCCCCACACTGAGGACGAGAAACCTGGTTCGTTCTATGCAGCTCAATGAGAAACATCAGGGCACAGAAGATCGAGGCCAAGGAGGGTCTCACCGTCCTTAACTGTGCACTCCTAGAAAACCGCAGCCATTAAACCGCCACGCTGAGAATTCCTGGAGCAGAAAGGCAGGAGGCTGATAAAACGGCTTCAACTGTGTGCCGGACCAAGAGCCTATGCATTCCCCAACAGGTTTATTGGTTTATTTTACAGACATTTTCTGAGAACAAAGGCTCCGTTTCACAAGAGAGGATTTAGGAGGCTGTAAAATCATAGCTATCCATTTGTAGGTTATATTTATGTAAAGGTTATAATGCGTTCCAAACTATGGAAATGATCTAAATTTTTTCATGACCTGGATTACAGTACTGTAGTATGAAGCATTATGGGAAACAAATAGATATGCCTTCCTAAACTACGAGCTGCATTTGAGAACTTTTTTTCTAAAGAAGTTGTTTTAACTCCCTCCACCCAGTTATTTGGGTGCAGTGAATGTGTGTGTGAGTGTGAATGAATATGTCTGCGCACACTCACACAAACA